CCAGGCACATCAATCACAGTAAAGTGCTCTTGGTCCGGGCCGTTGATCTCGATCTTGAGAATGTCTTCGCTGAACGCTTGTAGTTGAGAGTCGCCGGCATCAGAAGACATCCTGATCCCCATATGTCGGTTAGCCTCTGAGAAGCATTCTTCGAGTACATCGGCGGTAACCGTATCTCCTTCAACGTGGAACTTCCGTAGTCGCTCGACGAGTTCCGGATCTGCGTTTGGTCGGGGGATGATTGATACCGAAACGCTCTGCTCAGGCCGACGGCGACAAGAGATCTGCGTCGCATATCGTGTGCAAAGTCCGGCACCTTGCGGGAATGCGAAACCTGTAAGACTCTCTAGAACTGAGCTTTTACCGGAAGATTGGTCTCCGACTACTACAAGCTGGGGTAACTCAAGATCTCGGACATTGAGTTCTCGGAGCTTGTCTATCTTGTCGAGAAGGGCTTGGTTTGTAAGATTAGGTCTACTAGTATTCGTCATGTTGAGATGCTGTTGTATAGTGGAAGCAAGTGCAGCAGCTTGAATGCCCGATGTGTCAATGATATATGAGCTGCTTCTGTGTTTGTTCAAGATACCAAACAAACATAGCAATCCTGATGTTTCAATCGGTGATAAACCAGGTGCTTCCAGTAGTTCTCTTAGCTGAAGATCGTTTGAACAAGAGGGCGGGCGGGCCATGGAGATTGTCAGTGCACAAGGCCATCATCCATCAAGCCCATTGCTGGTATAGCCCAATTTTGCACCCAGTGAGACTCAAGAACCTGTTGCGCTGAAGGTCGTTCGTCTGGTCGAAATGCCAACATCAATCTCATGAGCTTGACAAATGACTGCTTCTCCTCCTCGTCCATCACGTCCACCTTGTTTTTGTTTCTTGGTTCTTGTATTGACTTCTCCAGAAGATCTTCCAACGACTGATAATCCAATCCTCTAAGGCTTCGCAGTTGATCGTCAAAATACTGGCTGCGATTCGCCCATCTCAGCCACAAGTCTTGAGGTAACTGTCCCAAAGCAGCGACTTGATACTCTAAGACTTGGTCGTTACTCGGGAACCATTCATAAAACAAGAGACGTTGACCCATGATACTGAACACTGCGCATCCGAGACTCCATAATTCCGCAGGGAACGAGAATTGCGAGACTGGGTCCAACAGTATCTCTGGAGGCCTTAGCATCAAGGGCGTGTGGGAAGATTTTCGCACATGAGATCCTGGCTGGAAGGATTCGCCAAAGTCGTTTAAAAAGATCTGGGAGTCGGCGAGTGAGAGCTTGTCACCGCGGCCCCCAAGCCAGATTGGTACGACACCATTGTCGGGCACCCAATGATCCAGAGGGCGTCCATCTACCCTTTCTACCTCTTCGAGCGTGGGTTGTCCATACCTTTCGTATAGTTGGTCTGAGGGAAGATCATCGATGGTATTGGGAAGGCGCAGAAGGATATTTGCTTCATGTAGATCTAGATTCACTGTCAGCGAATTGATAATCTACCCACATTAACTATTCCATCACACACCTCCATGAACTATCCCACGAGAGTGCATGAATGCGACTGCCTGAATAATCTGAGCAGCTATCGCTCGAGCTACTGGGAGCTGAAAATAACGGTAAGGGGACGCGTCTCGCGCTTCGGCAATGCTCATCATTGCAGGTGTCGTGACGAGACAGCGGTGCTTTCTCTTCGTACCACGTATCTCTGGACCTTCCACTTCGAATTCATCCAAAAGTTCAGGAAACAGCGTAGTACCGATATGTTCTTCGCCACCGCGTCTTCCCTCGTCCCACAAAGCCTTCAAGATGGTACTTTCGGACGGACGGTCTAGCCCTGATACACAGAATTTGATAGCAACATACTTTGCTAGGATCTCGTCACGCGCTAGCCATATAGTTGAATAAGAACCATGACCCAGTTTATGTACAATGTGATAGCGAGCCGAGCAGAAGCGCTCGCCGATTCGTACCGGATAGTAGTCTCCAACAGTGTAACGCTCGAAGGGTTCGATATCTTCCATCGGCTTGTACATCGGGAAGGAAGACTCTGGGTTCTCAGGCTTGCAATCTGACATCGGTTTTGTATAACTGCCAGATGATGTGTACTCTCTTACTGGGTTGCGAGACGTCGTGTGTGAATTAGCAGATATGTTGCAGGCGAAGCGATGAGTCGAGCGGAACCGTCGATGAAGAGTTGATCGAGACAACAAATCCATCCGCATTGCGAAGTCTTTCATCACTAACCGCAACTGCAGAGAAAGTAACAAGAGTAGGCGCTTTCATAGGTGCAATGTTCTCGCAAACGCGATTGTCAGGAGCTAATGACTGGGTCTGTTGAGGCCTGCCTGCTGGAGGTGGCGGGGAAATCAACTAGCGTCAGGACCCACCGCCACCCGCAGACCCGCCGACAGCATTCGTATATCACCTCAAGTCAGTGCAAATTCGGTATGCTAGGTACTGATTGCATCGGGCATGAACAAGCAGGTGTTGTCGTGGAACGTTGAGGTCCTTTTTTGGCGGGAGAGCTAAATGCATCTGTGGTATCTTTTAAGCACGCGCGTGGTCTCATCACATTCTTTACATTACGTCTCTACCGATAAGAAAATATATACCAGCCTCCAACATTACTATCGCACCGCACCGCGACTCGATGCATCATCCTGCTTCTACCATCGGGCACGTAGGCATCAGTGGACCCTTCCTGGAAGCTCGGCAGGCTCCATGTTTACATGATGACCTCCAGACATCTCAACCGGTCCACGGCTGCTATCCCATTGATATGCCTTCCGCGTGTGTCGCATGTTTCCCATGCTCAATTCAGATTCCTGTGCGAATTCATCCCGGGGACCGTAGCTGTATCCAGATGGCTGTACTTTCTCTTTTGAAGCGCCACGCTTTCGTCGAATGAAGAAGACGCCAAGAATGGTCAAGCAGATCACTGTAAGCCCTCCTAAAACTCCTCCCACGATAGGCCCAATGTTATTTGGTTTGTGTTCGGAAGAATCGGGCGTCGGATTTGACGTTGACGGCGGCAACGAAGCCCCGGACAGGACATTGGCGCTTGAGGGTGCAGTAGTAGTAGAAGATGGAGGTATCGAAGTCTGTGTATCTGGGGTCGAACTGTCCAAAGGTCCGCTGCGTTCAGTGGATGTCGTTGTTGCGACCGCGTCGTTCGGTGTCACGAAGATGCTTTCGGTTTTCGGCTCCCTTCCGCAGGCAATGTATGACAATGACTGATCCGACTCAATTAAGAGCGCAGTGGAACAGAACTGGTCGGATGCACTGGAAACTTTAATTAGAAGAGCCCCTCAGTATGTCTGAAGCTATAGAGAGACCGACCATGAAATACGGCGAACCGTTTGATCAGACAGTTGGCCGCATCCAGACGCACAAGAGCCTTGATCAGCGCATATACCGACTAAAAGACAAAGTTCGGCTGAATCGCCAGGGTGACAAAAGCCCCATAAGCCGTTGGCGGAATCCGCCAGGCAGACGAAACCAGGGCCAGCCCCTCGAGGTTTACTGGGATTGCCATCGGTGTATCCACAGATAGAAGCAGATGCATCGTCTTGTCGTCTGAAAATCTGTTCCTGGGCGTGAGATGCTTGCTGTGTTGCACGTGGTCCTAGGGGTGCAAAACGGCCACGAACAGGTTCCACGGAGCTCAAGGCGACAAGATACACGAGGAACCTCAACATCTTCCAAAGGCAATGTTGATGGTGACGACGGCGCGTTGATTGGTACAGTACTAGAAGCGAAAGAACAGATGCGACGATGGGTGCGACACGTAGGGGGCATAGATGCGACTTAAAGGCTACTGCTGACCCTACCGCAGGTCTGCGGTCAGCAGGGGCGATAATACAGCCATTTCTTAGATTGCGCTTATGCAGTCAATGGGGCGAAGATGTCGTGTTAGTCTTGAGGGAAACGGCCCCCATCTGCCACAATGTCAGCACGTAGCGTCCATGTTGAGTTGTCTTAAGCCTGATTATCGCCATCGAACCACAATGCCCATTCGCCTTTGATCTCCTAGGTCGATACACTCGCACCTCTGGTATCGTCGCGGATTCAGTATCGCCATAGACCTCATCGTTTGACACCAACGACATGCTCTCGGCGACCAGGGCAAAACCGGCAAGGATGGCAACGAGCGACGCATCCCGAGCACAACAAGCATTTAGATGCACTGGAATATGCATTTTTCCCTTCGCGCGTGGATCTGTCCTGGAATCCCGAGGTCCTGGCAACGCCTGGGCAGAGATAGCAACAACCGCGCGCGCCACCAACACCCAACTTTCGCTGCTAGAATCCATATCCCGGAGCTCACTAAGTTAGCGAAAGCGCGCATACGTGAGCGGTTCTCTCGGTACTGGTAGACGCTGCGTGACGCTGTTGAACTTTTTCTTGTTGTGGGAGAAAGGCAGAAGGGATATGTTGACTGGTTTCACTGGTAACAGACGCTCCGGAGGCACGCACGGGCCACTTGTTCACCCAAACAGTGTTGCTAGTGGGATAACTGTCTGCGTCATTTGCCGCCGTGCCGCAACCCGTGGGCCTATTCTGAGCGCTTCCTCCACGCGAAACGGCGCGAATCCGACTTGCCACTCTCAGTCACGCAGCTACATTCTTTGAAAGAGACTTCATCGGCTTTATTGCTTCTCAGTTGCACCCTGTTCTTTCTTCTTCGTCGCTCCTTTCTAATGACAACGAGGGGCTTGCGATCGGTCTTCAAGGCGACCGCGTTGCTTGCTGTTGTCTTCCTCCTGATAGCCGGCTTTGGGTTTTTCGACTATGGCGATTCCCTTTCGCGAATAAAACCTATCGTCACTGGTATTGTCAAACCAACCCCGGCAGGTGTGTAGCCTCTGCTTCCCGATAATGTGAGTCGGATCTAACATTTGGGACTAGAAACGAAGCCGAGCAACCTAGATGACTCGCCAACAACATCACAAACCCCCGAGCCTCCCAATGCCAGCGGCGGTTCTGAACTTTCGGAAAGTAACAATGCCACCGTCATTGATATACCAGCATATCTGCACGCCATCATGAATCCTGCGTCTACGACTTTCCCACGACTTGAGTGCCCGCAGCCAAACCTTGAAAGGTATGCGTATCTCGGTGGATCATCTGGATCACTCCAACATGGGCAACTTCCTCGATACTTCTTTGCCCTCGATCTACATCAATGTGTTGACCTTCTTCCGCGATTGATTGGCTCCATAGTAGAAACTATGTACTTCCTTGGGCCACAAAACTGCGTGCTATCTATAGTCGAAGGAAGATCCGACGATGGCACCTTTGATATACTCAATCAACTTCACTCTAGCATGCAACTTTTAGGTACCCAAGGCAGCTTACATTCAGAGATAAAAAAGCTAAGCACTCCTAGGTATTCGATACTACTTCAAATCGAGCGATATCAACCCTCTAGCCAAAGGAGAAAATCGCATCGAGAACCTTGCAAAGCTCCGCAATCTAGCTCTGAGAGACCTTATCGCACATCCGGAGCATTACGACGAGGATACTACGGTCATCTTCTCCAACGACGTGGCTTTGTGTATGGAAGATATTCTAGAAATAATCCATCAGCGGAAGTTCCAGGGAGCAGATCAAACGTGTGCCATGGATTGGACATACGTTGGCGACAACCCGACTTACTATGATGTTTGGATCGGTCGCGGTGAGTTTTGACTGTGCGAAGCGCATGTGAGACATATACTGACTGAGTATACCTATTTCTTAGGAATGACTGGGGACCTATTCTTCAATATCCCGGAAGACGGATCATGGGATAACGCTTGGAATCTCTTCTATAATGACCCTAAATCACAAGCGCGCTGGTCGACCTCAAAACCATTCCAGGTGTTTTCATGCTGGAACGGCATAACGGCCTTCACCGCGAAACCGCTCATGGAGAAAAAGATCAAGTTTCGAACGCATAAGGAAGGCGAGTGTTTTCAAGGCGAGCCGAAGCTGTTCGCCAAGGACATGTGGTTTAACGGTTATGGCAAGATTGCTGTGGTACCGAGCGTTAACGTGGAATACTCGGACGAAGGAACAAAGAAGCTCAGGGCTTTGAAAGGATCCACATCCAAGGTAAGTTCTGACTGTGCGAAGTGCATGTGATACACATACTGACTTGTCTGCAGCATGTTGCGGACGAAGGAGATGATATCAAAATCGAGTGGGAGGTTTCTCCGCCGGAGAAAGTGAAGTGTATGCCAGACTATCGACACCAAACGTTTGTTGCTTGGGACGAGGGACTGAGGCGTTAATGTAATCGGAAATAAAATTCGAATGTTTGCAACGATTGCGATACTTGGTGAGAGCTGTATGCTACATGCATACTACGCTAACTATGTCGTATACTAAATCCGTCTTGTAATCACCACACGTATATCGTTGGTCGGCTTTCTCACTCCGGTTCCCGGAACCTTGCCCGGAAGCTTCCATGCCCCGTCCGCTGGGCCAACGTCCCACATTGTAATGATAGCAACAGCTAATGTCACAATTTCCTTCTCAGCAAATATCCTGCCTTTACACATTGCAGAGCCAGATCCCCATGGCTTCAGTCGTCCATATCGAGCAGTAAGCTTCCCAGATGACGGGTCCAGCTCCAGAAATCGTCCAGGGTCAAACTTATCGGGATCGCTGTAGATCGAAGCATCGCGGTTTACCAAAGAATAAGGTACCGACACGAATGTACCCGGCTTGAGTTCATGTCTCAAATCCCCGTCCGTAACGTGAACTGTGTTTGAACCAACAGATCTAATGGACCTAAGATGTGGGTGCACGAGGTCAGTAAATGTCCTACATAAAGTTCGAACGGGGATACAAACGTTGGTTCGTTTACAAGACGGTAGGTCTCGTAAATACACGCCTTCAGCAACGGACAATTCCTTGACAAGCCTTGCATATCCATCGATGTCAATTCTCTGGGGATGGACGTAGACATCGTAATATATTGGGTCAGTTCCTCGCGGAGTTGCTCCAAGATATCGGGTGTGGAATATAAGTAGGTTAACAGCCAGAAGAGGAGTGGTTGCGTGTTCGCATTCTGGCCCCAAAGGAGTCCAAGGTCTCCAGCACCACGCTCAGGGAAGGACCAACCTTCCCTCCTGTAGACGTTGTTCCTTCCCAATGCTGTTTCACCAACGTCGCGCATATCAGCGTCAAAATCGACAGGATCTCCCTGCTGGTACTGGTCGATTCGGCGATACAAAGCCTCGAGTTCAGTGATGAGACGGGTCCGCGCAGCGAGACCCTCTTTCATCACTTTCAAAGGAGCCCACAGAGGCAGGCCAATCATTAAAAGGGGGAAGAGATCGTTATCAAACTTCCACAGATCCTCTAGTGCCTGTGGATATCGATCGAGGAAATCGCGACCGTATAGCTGTGGGATAGCGATGCAGGCGCCAAAGTCTCGAATCAAGCTTTGGAAGTTTGCCTCCACTTTCTCAACACCACCGGATTCAGGGTTGATCACCCGAATTTGTGCCGAATGCTCCCACAACTCCATGTCGCGAGGATTAGACTGGAAGGTCACGAAGGACTTCACTTTTTCGGGTATGCAGGCTCTCTCCAAAGCAGCAGTGGCAGCGTTCTCGTTCATGAAGACTTTCTCGACAGGTGCTCGTAGATCCCTGTTTGAAGCGTCCATCTTTTCTTTGAATTGCAGTGAGTCTACGCCGCCGAATACACGGACGAGAAGGGTGTACTGAGACGGCAAAGGATCTAAGATGGATTTTGCCATCAACCGTGTGATGTGCGGCGAATCGATGAGTATTTGGTGTTTTGATGAGAGCCCAACAAGAGATCCACTGTTTCGCCGCAGCAACATCCTACAAAAGCGGACATGAGTATTATTTCTATATGGTTAAAGCTTCATGGTACTCACAGAATACGGCGACCCAGTCCATTCTCGGAGAGAAGATGCGAAGTTAACCCAATCTCAAGTGTTGCCCAGACGGGAAACAGCTGGTACGGTTTCGGTTTCGACGCCACTCGAACGATAAAGATGACGAGGAGGACGATGATGGCCACAGCAATGACACCAGTGTTCGCTGCCGCTTTCCAGCTCGCTAGCTGGGAGGCATCGGCATGCGATGAGTGCATTGTGTTTCCCATAGCCGCACGACTGACGAGCGTTTCCTATATGGTCGCCTTTATAGCGTTGGATGTGCGTGGCCTGGTGTTACGATCGTATGGTACTGAAGGAGAAGCTGTGACTAGATTTGGGGGCCGGGTGTGCAGGCTTGATAAACCGGCCTCGGAAAACGTTTCAGCCGTATCAGCCGTATCCGCCGTATTACCCCAGGGTTGTACCTATTGCTGATGGCCTTGGCGTCTCGTAAGGTTCAAATATTCACGGCGCGGCAACAGGAGGCTCCGAGTGCCGGCGGTTGTAGCGGCGCGTGGTGGTGCTGCTTTGCTCGATGTTGATGTTGTCTCCCGTTGGTTACGTCTGTGACTGTACAACTGGTTCCTGCATACGTGGAAAGCTAGCTCTACGTGCCTGTCGCGCCTTGAATACGCCCGAGACGGTATGATTTGATGAGACAAATGGCACGAGATCGAATAACCTGTCAGCAGCCACGGGGTCCGCGTCGCAAGCGGGCAACTTAGGGGAATTAGGCAACCACGGCAGAACGCGAAATTTCGCAGGGCGTAAGTATTCGCAACACGATGTATTGGGCGAATGCGGTCTTTCGCCCAAAGAGGTTAGACCGTCTATGCGCGCGAAGAGTGGACCCGCGGCAACAACCCCATGAATAGTTGGAAGGAACAAACGACTGCCACGCCCTCGTAGAAGCCAGGATGAGTGATCTGGGCATCTTCTTATGTCCAACCTCGCCTGAGCGTACCTGCACTCACAGCTACGCCGCGCCTGCCTGCGTTCATCGTGCATCGACACCGCCTCACGCCAAGGGTCTTTACCAACATCGTCGGAGCAGACCTGCGCTAGGAATTTAGAATCGTCCTTCGTTCCTTCCGCTACCATGACAGCACAGAGAGTACAATGTCCTATAAGTCTAAGGACTACAAGAATGAAGCAAGCTTGAGGACGCACATGTTTCTACACAACGATGAAGCGAAGAAAGCAAACTTTGCATCAAAGAAGCGATGCCGTGAGGCAGCGATATTGGCAGAGACATGGAAGTGCGCAAAATGCAGCAAAATATATACCACTAAGAACAACCTGGATCAACATCTGCGCACACACCACCGAGAACTATCCAACTCTTCATTCGACCGCTCTGTCTGCCCGGAGACCTTCAACAACAAAGTGACTCTGGAGGAACACCACCGAACCGTACACGCAATGGACACCGCCCGATAGACCACGGTAGATGAGAGTCTTGGGTCTACTCTCGGCTTCGAATGCATTTACTGCGGCAGGAAGTTTCGGCCCCAGAAGAAGATGAATACTCATATCGACTTCAGATGCCCTGCAAGAGAACGTGAACCCTACCCTGCGCGCAACGGTAACACTAAGATACTCCGAGAGATTGAACAGATTGAAGAAGCTATGCCAACCATCGATCGTATTGACAAGCCCGTCCACCAGAACATGTTGACGATGCTGTACCAGCGGCTGTCGGGATGGCAGCAGCAGGATGACGATGGGAATTCGTGCCACGTGTCTCTCCGCACAACAAGCCTTAGACTCCATCACCTCGGAAAAGGAAAGAAACTGAACAGTTCTGCAGACTACGCTATGACAAAACAAGCAAATCGGAAGATCTATCGTCATTGTAGGCTCCAGAGTGGTCTCTTGAAGGCCATCAAGGTACACATAAGAGCATGAAAACAACACTCACAGTCAACTGCCTAATCTGTGAACGGGTCTACCCTAGCGACAGCAAGATGTTGCAGCATTGTCAGAACGCCGATGTGCCAAACCCCGACCCAGCGGCCGAAACCGGATACAGAAGATCCAAGTAGAAGCATACTATCGCCTTCTCGAAACTCAATGCTTTTTATGCGGATTGGCACGTGCCTACTTGAATGGGGCATATCATCCTTGGATCTGCACTTCTGCGATCAGACATTTTAACTACGAGTAAATGTGAAGTCATCATCAGCGACCGTGTTATAGAGTACGGCAATGCACAGAACATAGATCAGAGATGGACATATCTCATTCGCAAATACTCTAGTATCTACAAAGCCATCTTCCCCTCATCTCTAGCAAAAGCAGCCCCGCTAAAATCGACACGATAGAAACAACGCCTGCCAAATGCAAAGTTTACTCCTCACCCTTCGTTACAGCATGCCGTTTTTTCGAAAACTGTCCTGAAAAAAAGTTTTCCCACGAAGGCCAGGCTGGCACCTGGGTCTAAAAAAGCCATTTGAACATGGACCGCGGCAAGCTCCGGGTCCTTCCTGAAAGGGGGTAATCGTTGAAGAAGCGAAAGAACATATCATAGCAAACGAGATCTTCGTGACGTAAAATAGTGCAATACACGTAAAGGAAATAGTGCCTCGTGATGCCGAAGGGCATGTAGACGTGAGGACTGGTATCAAATTCTGGCCATGAGCGAAGGGTATCTGGTGGTATTGGAAAGTCGTGAGCTTAATGTGATGTAAGCGTCTCGTCCTCCTAGTGGGAGTTGGTGGCAGGCTGAGGTGGAGGCGTAGACAGGATCGAGATGCCCATGGTAATTATAGCAATCAAGAGTCATAGGATACTGCATGCGCTGCCCGAAGACCTATCGATACGTTGTCAGCTACTGCACCGGATATATCTTTGCGTCGAAAGTATCCAAAGCCAATGGCATGGACGGGAATGTGTCACTGGACACTCGTACGGTATCTCTATCGTCATAGTGATCAGCGCACAAGCAATGATCCACGTCTCTCCGCGGAAGCCATGCTGCACGACGGCGGGACGATCACCGTTTGTGATTGTGTCACCCAAGACTTAGTGCATGTGCCGGGTTCCTGGTGCCGAGAGCCGAGGGATTGGGGAGATGATTAGATAGGAAAAGGTAGATGCTTACCATCTTTGCCCGCGGATCCTGCCAATCCACGAGTAAACAATCTTCAGACGCTCGCGAACCCTTTCTGTTTGTAATAAAACATATTTCTCTTCTTCCACGATTGGGACGACAGAGGCAAACCAGTATGGAAATATCGCGGGGTCCTCAGGTGGTTCACCGTAGACTTGGATGATGCGCTCACGAAGCCAAGGCGCGCTAGCCTCTCTCATTTCCCGCACAAACGCTGTGCAACTGTCGAGTAGTTGTTGCGTAGAAAGGGTCTCAATCGCGAC